AAAAAAAAAAAAAAAAAAAAAAAAAAAAAGAACTTTAACCTTAAAGTTTTAATAATTAAATTATGTATTATTTATTGAGTTGAACTTTCTTTTTCTATACACTTCCAAAAGCCCCACTTATAACAGAATACATTCAATTTTGGATGAACTTTCCACGTCAACTCACTTTCAGTATTAAATAATTAAACAAAAAAAAAATCTTAAATATACTAAATAAAAACCACACTCATTTCAAAACTTTACATTAAATCACTAACCAATCCATTCCATTCCATTTCAAGCTTACAAATACTCATTTTAAACATACACATAAACAAACCCCACTTTTCACCATACAATATATTATATAACATATATATATATATATATATTATATATATATATATTCTTATTCCAATGAGTTAAGTTTAAAATAACACACATAATTATGGTCATATATTCCCTTGAGTTGATGAATCAATTAGTTGGATTCCACAGCTTTCATGGCTTCAAACCTTGGCTCCTTGGCCTGGAATTTCAGCCCTGCATACAGCTTCATGTAGTCTTCAAACACGAACTTTGGGTATAATACTTCGTTCTTCTCCTCACCCTCTTTCCCCACTAGGGCCGGCGCTGGGTATATCACTGCGTCGCTCCCGGGGTTGTAGAACGATGCTAATGACATCCTCCCTTCCCCGTCGCGCTGCGCTATCACTCGGTGCAGCACGCTTTTGTACTTTCCGTTTGTGATCACCTGCAACAATTGACCCATTTAAGCGTTTCTTTGATGATCATGGGTTTATAAGTAAGAGAGTGCTTATGCTCAAAGTGGTTAATATTATACTACTGTGGAGAGTCGTGATTCTTAACAATTACCTCAAGTTGGTCGCCGATGTTGACGACGATCGAGTGGCGGACCGGTGGCACGTCAACCCATTGGTCGTCTTTCAGCAACTGGAGGCCACTCACCTTGTCGTCTTGGAAGAGGAGGATGATGCCACCGGCGTCGGTGTGGGCTCGGAGGCCCTTGATCAGATCCGGCTTAGGACAAGGTGGGTAGTTGCTAACCTTGGTGCCAAAAGTGGGTCCTTTAGATCCATAAAACACATTCTTGAGGTACCCTTTTGGGAGCCCAAGATTCTCGCAAAGTAAATCCAAAAGCACTTCCGCAAGCTTCTCCAATTTGGCAGCAAATTCCTTCATGACGGCTCTGTATTCGTCGGCCAAGTCCGGCAAGTCGGCGATGTTGGAAACGGGGAGATGGCGGAGGAAGAAAGTGCTTTCCCAGTCAAGATCGTTGACCTCCGCCTGAACCCCATCTAACCCTTTACTCTCCACCAGCTCCTTGAACCTCTGTTCCATACATTTCTTGTAGTGCTGTTTCGTTAGCCTCTCCACCTTGTCCAGAAACTCTGGCTCAATCCCATGGTTCAAAAGCTGCAAAATTACGCGTGTTTTAATCAGTTGAGCTATACAAAAAAACCCGAGTAAACCCGAGTAAACGAGAGATTATTACCTCGAAAAAGCCCCAATTTTCACAGGCGTCTTTGATTTTCTCCAAGATGGGGGCTCGTTCTTCGCCATTAAGCTTCTCCAAGTTGATAATTGGGAACTCCATTGGTGCAAAATTAGAGCTTTTTTTGGTTGTTGTTGTTGTGTCTCACTCTGTTTTGCTCTGTGTGGGGTTTGTTGGAGGAGGGGCGAAGGGTATTTATAGGGGAATTTTGAAGGATGATTAGTGGAAATGGGAATAATAGCAAGATTTGTGAAAGCATAAAACGACAAGTTGGGGCGTGGCTGGTTCAACAATATCCACAGGGGAGAGGACCCACACCCGATCGCTAAGCCATTTTGACTCACTAAGCCAATGGAGTTTGTTTGGGTTGAAGCCTTGAAGGGATGCCAATGGGGATTTTCTTTGAAAATGACTGCACCAACCTAGCTGCCCATCCCATTTCCCATCCACCCCAACCACTTACAATAACTTCGCTCACCACGCTAAACCCTTCTTTTTTGTCCTCAGGACCTCTTCCGAATCTACCCGCTTACTATTAATATCTGGGTCGGTTTGATAATGATTTAATTAAGGTTTAGGGTTCAATTTGAATGCAGGTCTAGTCCAACAACGAATGAACCTCATATCCAAATAAACGATTGTCTTAATCATTCAGTTATGTTCATGTTGACAATGATGATGACTAACCCTATTGGTTTAACTAGTAGTGTAAGACGATTCGAATCTCTAATCTTAAATAAATTGTGTTCTATCTAACTATAACAGCTCAAGCTCCCGAGTGCCAGTGAGCATGCTAGACCCCGAATGAGGTGAATTGTGAGATCTCACCTCGGTTGGAGAAAGAAACGAGTGTCAGTGAGGAGTTGGACCTTGAAGGGGGTGGATTGTGAGATTCCATACGGTTATAGAGGGGAACGAAGCATTGTTTATAAGGGTGTGAAAATCTCTCCCTAACAAACGTATTTTAAAAACAGAGAAGTCCGAAACGAAAAGCCTAAAGAGGACAATATCTATTAGTGGTGGGCTTCAGCTATTACACTAACGGTTAGAAATAAAAAAAAAAAAAAAAGTATTCGATTCGTTGGTTGTGTGATAAATAGTGGTAGGAATGAATTTATATAATATCTCACAATCAAAGATAAATAACCTCTCATACCGAATATATACTAACCTTTCAAATAAATTCTCACTAAACAAATTTAATTAAAAAATTAATAGATCTATTTTTTTTTCTAAAAATATAAGTAAATAATACAATATATATATATATATATTAATAAAAAGGTGAATATTTAAAAAAAAGATACTCTTTTTGTTAATTTAATATTTATTTTATNCTTTAGTAGGTCAGAGTGGCTGCTTTTTTTTTTTTTTTTTTTTTTTTTTTTTTTTTTTTTTTTTTTTTTTTTTTTTCAGACAATGCTTATTGCTTTATTTATTTATTTATTTATTTATTAGATCCATCCAATTTAAGACAAAAAAGACTCATCTTCATTACTTTATTAAATTTAGGAAAGCTACCAAAGCAATATTAAAAGCTAATATAATATATATAAATTAAATTATAATTTTTTTTTCCTTTTTGTACTTTGTTTCTTGCTTATTTCTAATAAATTATACTAATATATATATTTTTGTACCGATCAAATTCCGACCCTACCATCCATAAAACTTAACTAAGCTATTAATATTGTAACTATACTCGTGTTGATAATTTATTAATTATGTAATAAAATTGTTCATACACGGTTATGCAAGGAGAACCATCAATAAAATAATAAAATATTACATTTTGAATGAAGAAAAAAAAAGTGAACCAATAACAGATAAAGAAAGACCATCATAAATGGGTCGACCGTGTCCATAAAGTTGAGTGATGTGTTAGTTGATTATATATATATATATAAAGTATATTAGTCGGTTGCTGGAAACAAGAATGTATGAACATGTAGGCCATGCCAATTTAGTCTGTTGCTACTTCTGCTTAAAACATTAATTTGGTCTCTCGAGATTTAGATTTAGGAATGTGTTGTTTGTTCATCGTGGGTCTCGATAGATGTCAAATCTGAGTGTGTGAATAGTTCATTTTAGTTAGACAATGGTCGGGGATGAAGAGAGAATGTGAAAAAAAATATATTTTTTTTTTACTTGAAAATTTTAAATCACAAATTTTAATAAAAAAAAAATGACACGTCTATCATTTT